CAGAGAGTGAGAGAGACAGAGAGAGAGAGACAGAGAGAGTGAGACAGAGAGAGAGTGAGACAGAGAGAGAGAGAGACAGAGAGAGAGAGACAGAGAGAGAGAGACAGAGAGAGACAGAGAGAGAGAGAGACAGAGAGAGACAGAGAGAGAGAGACAGACAGAGAGAGAGAGACAGACAGAGAGAGAGAGAGAGAGTGTGTGTGTGTTTTATGCAACAGCATTAAACACAGATATACAACCAAATGTGACAAAAACAAAACTCCTGAACAGACAGTTGTTTCAGATTTGTGACGTTATGTTGGAAGAGTTTTAAAGGAGGAGAGAGGAGGATCAGAAGGGAGATAATTAGAGATATTCATGGATTCATCTTCTGTTGATCTTTAGGAGAGAAATGTGTGATGGATCACCTTCATTTACTGACTTAAGAACTTTGTTAGTAACTGTAGTCTGAACAGTTTACACAGTAATTACTGTTGTTGTAACTCATTCAGTCCTTATTTACAACATATTCATTCTATTATTCAAATATACATGAACTTTGTAGACTTGACTCTGCAGGCTGCTGGATATGTTTGTAAAGTTTATTATGAGCTGACTTGTGAACAGAGTCTCCACCTCTGACCTCTGTTCCTGTCCAGCACTGTAGTTTACTGTGTGGACGGATGGACAGCAGAGACCAACATGTGTCCTCTCCCCTCTCGTGGTGTCTGTCCATGCAGATCCAGCAGCTTCATTTGTCTCTCTGAGAAGTAAAGCAGTTTCATACTGTAGGGACTCTTTCCTCAGTAGAAGTAGTTCAGACACAGTCTGAGTAGAGGACGGACAGACTGGGGACACATTTGGAAAACAAGGACAAAGATTCAAAGCTTCTAGGAAATAATAAACTTCACATGTTTAATATTTCAGCTGTTTGTTCAGGGTCAGAAATGCTGATGTCTGTATTCAGATGGGAAATAATATCAATAATCAATAATCTCCAAACAAGCAGAAAGCAGATGAAAGTAAAATGTCTCCTGTCTGATGGTGCGGAGGACGACTTGACTGACAGCTGTAGAAATGAGCAACATGAAGTCAGCGTGCAGCTGCAGCAGAGGAGTTAGTCTCTCCTTTCTGCAGCTGGGACTCAAGTTGTCTGAGAACAGGGTTTGAAATGCTGCTGAGTTCACATGTGCTGTTTATAGAGACCTGATCTCTGCTGCTTCCATCAAAAGATGTTTGAACAACAGGAAACATTACAAGTCCTGACTGGAGGCTTTTCTCTTTCTGTTCAGAGACACAGGAGGTGAAGGTGAAGCCTGGAGAGGACGTCACTCTTCAGTGTCAGAGTCACAGAGGTGCTGACATAGAAGTGATAAAGTGGAACAGAACTGACCTGAAGTCAGATGATTTTGTCTTCTACCTCAGCCCTGATCAAATAAACGGAGAGCACCAGAATTCATTGTTTCAGGGTCGAGTGGAGCTTCAAGATCCAGAGAAGAAGAACGGAGACGCTTCTGTGATTCTGAAGAACGTCAAACCAACGACACTGGAACATATGAGTGTTGGATTAGAGTGAGAAATGAGACAGGCAAAGCTAAACTCATCGCACCATCAAGCTGACAGTGACAGGTGAGCGTGTATTTCATTTTAAAACAGATCTTTTTCTACGTTTGCACCTCCCGTTCAGACTAAAACGGTGAAAATGTAGAAGTTTGGAAAAGCTGCTGAACCCGTTTTGCGTTTCAAAACTCCGGGTAGCGTTTTTAGTGCAGACGGGCAACAACAGAGGACTTTAGAAACGATGACGCAGACGCTCACATTCGGCTCTCTGATTGGTTCGTCTAAGTCATGGAAAGCAGAAACACAATTCTACTGATTTTTATTAAAATATTAAGTACAGTGTAAATAACACTTATCTGCCTACACTTGATCTGTGCAGGTCGCCGTATTCACTTTGCAACGACTTCCAGCTGGTTTTCCAGCTGTCACTGTGGTGAGTGAGATGGGCGGGGCTAAGGGCTGCGTAAACGTTCATGTGGAATAGACCAGAGGTCACTAATAGGCGGTCCGGATCCGGACCCAGCTGTTGTCCTCTCCGGACCACCGACCTACAGCCGATTTATTATTGAGACATACCACCTGGTTACGGAGCGTTTCTATTTTAACCCGCGCAGCTTCTCTAGCATTTACTGTACTGGTTTAGAGGACCAGGAAACTCACAGACCAATCGCATGTGCTCCAATTGTCTCATGTGACGCTGCTCAGCCAATCATATCTGTGCATTCCGATGCTTGCGAGTCGAGTCCGCGAGATTCACCAGAGACGTTTTGGAAACGCACACGAATTGAAGAGGTGAAAGGGAAAAGAGATTTCACATGACTTTTAATCAAGAGTGTACAGATTCTTACATGTACATTCCTCCCACGGAAGTTTAAAACCAGAATCTGTCATAGATCTCCAATCCTAGCTGGCAGGACAAACTAGAGCTCACGTTTCTCACTGAACAAGAGAAAGTAGGAAAGAGGTTTATAAGAGGGCAGGAAAGAGAAGAGGAGGTATTACAGCTGTTCATTTGTTAAGATGTGTTCATTATAAAATTGGTTAAGACAGCACTTCATCACTTCAAGCTGCACTTTTTATAAAATTTTTTTCTAATTTTTAAAAATTAGGCACTTAAATTTAGTTCACTTAAATTTAGAATTTATTATTAGAGTAGTTTTATTTATTATCCCTCCAGTTTGATGTGAAAACTGAAAGTAAATATTCTTGAAATATTATTTGAGAACGGTGTTGAGAAAAACATATGTTGACACAACTATACGTTATGGCCCTGAATGATAACGCAAGTTAGTCGTTTTGATGTTCCAGACCTTTGCTTCGGGAAATTTTCTCTATCTGGAGCTCGTTGAATTCTAATTGAATAGACCAACAGGCCTGGGGAGAAGGGGGGTTGGCACGTGTCGCTCAACCTTCGGCCAACTTTATCATTATTGGTAAAAGAGTAAAGACAAAGGAAGGCGGCCCACTGGGAACTGTCACGGTGCTCCAGACGGCCAGACCGCCACTGATGTGAATATTCAGAAGAAGCTCTGTTCCTGTCCAGCACTGTAGTTTACTGTGTGGACGGATGGACAGCAGAGACCAACATGTGTCCTCTCCCCTCTCGTGGTGTCTGTCCATGCAGATCCAGCAGCTTCATTTGTCTCTCTGAGAAGTAAAGCAGTTTCATACTGTAGGGACTCTTTCCTCAGTAGAAGTAGTTCAGACACAGTCTGAGTAGAGGACGGACAGACTGGGGACACATTTGGAAAACAAGGACAAAGATTCAAAGCTTCTAGGAAATAATAAACTTCACATGTTTAATATTCAGCTGTTTGTTCAGGGTCAGAAATGCTGATGTCTGTATTCAGATGGGAAATAATATCAATAATCAATAATCTCCAAACAAGCAGAAAGCAGATGAAAGTAAAATGTCTCCTGTCTGATGGTGCGGAGGACGACTTGACTGACAGCTGTAGAAATGAGCAACATGAAGTCAGCGTGCAGCTGCAGCAGAGGAGTTAGTCTCTCCTTTCTGCAGCTGGGACTCAAGTTGTCTGAGAACAGGGTTTGAAATGCTGCTGAGTTCACATGTGCTGTTTTATAGAGACCTGATCTCTGCTGCTTCCATCAAAAGATGTTTGAACAACAGGAAACATTAAAAGTCCTGACTGGAGGCTTTTCTCTTTCTGCTCAGAGACACAGGAGCTGAAGGTGAAGGCTGGAGAGGACGCCACTCTTCAGTGTCACAGTCACAGAGGTGCTACCATAGAATTGATAAAGTGGATCAGACCTGACGTGAAGTCAGATGATGGTTATGTCTTCTTCTTCAGAGACGGCCGCTCAAATGAAAACAACCAGCATGAATCTTTTCGTGGTCGAGTGGAGCTTCAAGATCCAGAGAAGAAGAACGGAGACGCTTCTGTGATTCTGAAGAACGTCAACATCAACGACGCTGGAACATATGAGTGTTGGATTAAAGAGGGAAACAACGCAAGACGCAGAAAGAGAGACGCTGAAACCATCTGCACCATCAAGCTGACAGTGACAGGTGAGCGTGTAGAGCTCAGAGTGTCTCTTTGTCTCTCAGGTGAGCGTGTAGAGCTCAGAGTGTCTCTTTGTCTCTCAGGTGAAGCTGCTTCCTGGTAGTTGAGCTGAGAAACATCACAGATCAGATGTTTGTGTTTTAGAAAGATGTTGCTGATGAGACTTTAGAGGAAACAGCTGCTACGAGTCATGTGATCAAAGTGCAGTAGATAATGTCTGACATTCTGTTCACCTGCTGACAGCTGATACCTCACACCTGTTTCTGCTCTGCAGGTCACACAGCTGGAGACAAGGAGGGAGGAGACAAGGAGGGAGGAGACAAGGAGGAGGAGACAAGAAGGGAAATGTTGGACTGATGGTCGGTCTGACAGTTTTTGCTGTGCTTCTTGTTGCTGTTGTTGGAACGATGCTCTTTAAAAAACGCAGAGGAAAAACACCTCTCACAGGAGGAGAGACAGTCGCCCTAAAATCACCAACATCAGGCTGACAGATCCAGGTGAGTGTGTCGAGCTCAGAGTGTCTCTTTGTCTCTCTGTACCACGAAGCAGGATTTGAGCTTATCCAGGTAACTTCGGGGTTTTCAGCACCATGACGATGGTTCACTTCTTACCGGGGTAGATCGCCATGGTAACTTATGCTGAACGGCTAACCTGCTCTGGAGCAGGTTATGTTCCAGATAAGAGATCAACTCTATAAACACTGTCCGCCTACTGACCAATCAGCTCTCTGGAAAATGACATCACCATCTGTAGGAAATCACACAGACTGTTTTATGTTTTCTGCGGTGAAACTATTGACATCATCCTACAGACTGGTTGAAGCTCTAAAACCATGTAGGCTACTACTTGTTGTAGATTTTTAAGATGTGACACTAAACCTACTCTCCACTTTGTTTTTTTATATATTATTTATTTACCTACGTCTGTTTCACACATCCTCTCACAGACGTTAAAATAAATGGGTTTAAGTTTTCTTTTTATGTGAGGCTGAATATTATGAACATATGTTAGTTGATTTTAACATCATGTTGTATTTGTTTCTATATTACAGAGACCTTTTGTTATGTGGGGGAATTTACAGTAAAAGCCTCTTTTTATATGAATGCGCTCAGAGCTGGATTTTGAAACCCTGTGTTGAATTATCAGGTTAATAACCAGCATCATGTGACCATTTAGCCTGATCGTGGTTGTTAGTGTCAGTGAAGCCAGATAACAAAAAGACATCCTGGGCATGTTGAACTTGCTTCGTAGTAAAGGCTCCTGGTAGTTGAGCTGAGAAACATCACAGATCAGATGTTTGTGTTTTAGAAAGATGTTGCTGATGAGACTTTAGAGGAAACAGCTGCTACGAGTCATGTGATCAAAGTGCAGTAGATAATGTCTGACATTCTGTTCACCTGCTGACAGCTGATACCTCACACCTGTTTCTGCTCTGCAGGTCACACAGCTGGACACAAGGATGAACCACTGACGGAGGGAACAAGGAGAAACACTGATGTTTCGGTGGGAGCAGCCAAACTGAAATAGAGACAGCTGTGGCTCAGAAGGAACGGAAAAGTTTAGCTGGGTAATGCCAAATATATTGTGTTGTGTTGGTTGTAGCTCACAACTTCTCGTCAAGTCTCAGTGTTGAAGGGAGCGGTTTTGTGTTTCGTGAGAATTGTTTCCAAATAAGTCTGCTATTGAACAAGACTGTGGTCCAGTCCGCATGGACACCGGTTCACCGGTTTAAAATCTTCACCCTGGCAGGAGTTTGCAAAAGTGTTCGCTTTCAGTGACCTGGTACTGCGTTTCTATGTGGATGAATGGCCAAACTGCGTTTTTACCCTGTATACACCCGTGTTCCCGTACAGAGAGCCTGTGTGAGCGCTATGTCTGTAAATGCAAAGTTGATCTCTCTCTCTGTCTACTCAGAACTTTGTATGTTTATACATCAATACTATATCTGTATCAATACTATGTACTGATTAAAAATGTGACTAGTTCTTTATTGTGGACGTGTTTACATTTGCTGACGTTGTCTCAAAAGCCTGGAACGAAGGTACGCTGCAGATTATAACTCTGGTTTCTGTAGTATAATCCACAGCACATTGTACCTGAACAGTGAACTGTTTCTGTGCACTGTTGACACACACGGTCATATCTTTGACTTAAAACACAATATTTCACAGTATGAAACTGCTACTGTTACTAAAGTCACAATTATTCACTAAATGTAACCACTTGCCATAATGTTGGCAGATAAATCTGTATCAATGCTTCATGTTGTAAAATATTAATCTGCGGAGTAACATTAATACCCTGTACATGATTTATTTTATTTCACAATGTTTTTTTTATATTTCAATGTAAATGTCTGTTTTCTTGCCAATAAAGCTTCACTGAATTAACCCACAGATGTCAGATAAATACCTAAATCATTTTCCACCAGTTTTCCATCAGCTGTTGATCTGAACTGAGCTGTAATCAAGAGCAGTTCAACCAAAACACAAAACACATGAGGTCCCAGGCATCCGCACAGATTTCAGATTACACACATGTCAGTGTTTTGGACTGAATTACTTTAAATAAGCTCCATTAAAAAAATCTGAATCTCACTGATTTCTAAACCTCAGGACACAAGTTTCTTACGGTCAAGGATCCCGGGGCAAAAAAGTGGCCCAGGAGTTTGTCCCTGGTCAGGCCACTCTGTGGACCAAGCATCAGTTTACCATCATGCTTACCATATTACTGGTGCTGTGGACTCTGACTGTGTTGTGTTATTGCTTCATCTCTGCTGTCTGTCTCATCTTCACATGTCAGCGTTATTACTGGTGCCGCTGGCCTGTGGCGGGTAGAGTACTGAAATCTTTACTCGAGTAAAAGTACAATTACTCCCATAAAAAAATCAATCAAGTAAAAGAAAAAATGACAAACGTACTCAAACAAAAGTAGCCCTATCATATATTTAATAATATGTAGCCTGTGGAATTAGATGCCACACAGGACATAATTACTTCAGGGGTTCTTGTAGCTCCAGGATTATTTATGACCACATGTGCAGGTCATTTCACAGGGTGATATGCTACTGAGTCTTTAATGTAACCAGCTCAAATGCTGAATTTCACAGTTTCTAACACCCAAAAATGTTAGAAGAAAGAAGAGGCAGAATAAAATACAGTAAAAATATGGTAGAAAATAGAGCAGTGGGCTATGACTATCGGCAGAAAACATAAAATAAATCATGTTAACAACCATAAACCCACTTACATCAACATCAGTGTAATAAATGTGCAACTGTAAATGACACTTACACTTCACCAAGTTCCACCAAACCCACAATTCAACGCACTTTCAACGTCTGTTACCTTCAGAGTTACAATTAATGTAAAACCTGTAACATTTCTCGAGTGAAAAAGTACAATATCACGGTGTGACTTAATGCACGCTGGCATTACCATGAAATTTAGTACACAATGGTCGCCCAAAATCCCAGCATACAGTTCCAGTAGTGCCTAAATCAAACCATCTTGTTAAAATACTGACAGGTGATGCCATTATATACGTGTACATGAATATTTAACAAGATATACACGCATTTACCTACTGCTTTACACAACGAAGTCAGCCAGTTTTTCTGTCATCAACCATGGCCGATATACCAACCCAGCCGGCATATGACCGACCTTCAACGTTGAAATATGGTTGAAATAATGTCAGTTGTTGTTTCAACAGTGAAACAACGTTGATATAACGTTTAATGCTAAATGGTTGAAAAATGTTAACAAAAACACTTCTAAATCAACGCTGAAATTTTTACAAGATCTGTACGTTGAAACAACGTAATGTTTTCAACAACATACAACATAAATATCTGCCTTATAAAGTATTATTATGATCATTATTAGCATTTAATGATATTCTGATAATACCACCTTTCAATATGTTAAAATATAATTATTATCATTATAGACAACTCTCCAATAATAATTTCAACCTCAAGCTGAAACTTTTTGCTTTACGTGATTTTGTGTGGATTTACTGTGTGCTTGCCTAACAGTTTACCATGCATTTTTTATTCAAACGCTGTCATGAAAACACCATTTGACCAATTAAATAAATAAATACAGACTGCAAATAAACTAAATATACACATTTCGCTACGTAACCACGCTGAAAATACTGTTATTGGTTGTTTCACCGGTGTACTTCATGATTGGTTAATCTTTCTGTCTTCCAGGAAACTAGCCAATGACAATATGCGCGCCTACTTTAAGTTTACATAAGTCCGTTACTGTTTGAGTAGGTGTGTGAGGTGAGCACGAGAGCTCGTTTTGGAACATCGAAGCTTGATTGGAGGACAGTGGTTGTCCATCACACAAGGCGGTGACTAGAACTGGATTCTATTGGCTCAGACGGTCCAGACACTTGCGCATGCGCGAAGTGGGTCTGTGTCGTCGTCGTCGTGAATTTGGAGGTAACAGCTCAAACGGTAAGTTTTTAAAGCCACATTTTATAACTAGAAATAGAAACAAAATAAATTTTGAGTGTGCCTGAATCTTGTCCATATATTAATACGTATTGTGTTAATTAATATTGGGTGTTTGGGCAGACTAGCTTAACCGCGAACCGCCGTTGTGTGCTAGGGTGTTAGGGTTGTCTCTGTTGGTCGAAGGTGGCACATTGACACACTTTCCATCCACAAACTTGAAAAATAAGGTTGAGATTTCACATTCTTCTTACTTCTCTTTTCCAGAGATTTGGAAGAACACAAACTGAAAGTCTCTTTCAACGGTGAGTTGTCCCCATACCTAACCCAACCATCTATTTGAATCTGAAAGTAACTGTAACCCTTAAAAAAAAATCATTTACATTTTGTAAAATTGTAATACAGGTTGATGTGGAAGATATTATATAAAAAATGAGCACAGCCTACCTAATTGGATTTAATGTTTTTATAACTTATTTTCAAATTTAATGATTTTGTTTATAAAACATTTAGGCTTTAATATATTGAGTTTTTATTTTCACTCCTAGATGTATCACAAAAAATGGAGACGACAAATGCACAATTACGCGCATTGGTGGAGTCTAGTGACTCAGATGAGAATCCAGGCCCCTCTTTTACACAGGAGCAGTCTGATACAGGAGAAGACGAGTATCGAGATGATCACCACCCGCCGGACAGTGATGGTGAAAGTGATTCAGAAATTGGAACTTTGTCCGAGGAGGAATCAAGTGATCTAAGAAGTGATCTGGCAAAATGGGCTGTAAAAAATAAGGCGTGCTTTGTATCTGGAAGTCAGAAATACGACGGAAAAACAGACGCCGTTGTGTTTGGGTGCATGAAACCATCAGTAGGCGCACACAGCTCGGGGAATTTCACCGGTGACAGGATATCACCAACTACAGGTGTTTCATCTCCGCTGCAGAGCGCCTGTCTATCTGTCTCCGGTGAGTTTCATAATTTTGTGTATCAAAGTCTGAATTCATGCTACATACTGCAACTTTTAAAATGCTTGTTTTCTGAATGGAATTCGGATCGATCAGGGCTAGGCTAACAAAATGCTAACGTTGTAGTTGCTCCATCAACACTGAAAATAATAGTTATAACTTTAAAATTACATAAACCCACTGGCATTTTATGACAGCAGCTGTGCAGTCATATCAGTAGATTTTATACCGACTTCCACCACAGTATGTTGTAATGGGAATTATGTTGCATGTAAACCTGGACTCAGGGAGACTCATCTGTGATCTGGCACTGAATCTGTGTAAACAACAGTCAGAATATCTCTGTTCTCTGTGTTATCCAGACTTCAGGGACAATGCGTCTCTGTGGGATGATAAGATCGACCCTAAAGCTGGATAAATAACAGGCTCACTAAGCTCTCCTCCCTCATTCGAGCATACATGTGTTTTGCTATGAGTCCTTCTGCAGAAGACTTGAATAAAACTCACAGAAAGACAAGTGTTTGTCTGAGCTGTTTATTTAAACACGCAATTCCCACCACAATTTCACACGTGTGAGAGGACTCGGACACTCGGAGCTGCAGGTGAAAAACCGTACGGCCGGAGTCTGAGACTCTGGGACTTCAAAATACGGGTGAGACGTTGAGGGCCTGTCGCCTGAGTGTCTGAGGCTCCCTCACCGCTGTGATCCATAAGAACCTGGTGGCAGGCAACATTTTCTCTTTTTGGTGAGCAGACTGTTCAAGTGGAACGATTCTCGCTGCCTCTCAGGGTGAAACATGACAGACGTGTCAGCAGGTCGGGCCTGGGGCCGCTGTGTGAATCGGCAAAGCTTTGTGTTAAAGGTACTATAGTCAAGAAATCACTGGGGGGCAGTGGATTTCTTATAGGTCTGGGACCTACTGTTGCATCAGTTCTTTTGGGTCTGGGACCCACAGTAAAGTAGGGGTTTGTGAGTCAGAAGACTCGCAATAAAATTGAAGAAAATTATTTTTGAAAATAAAAAAAATAAAAAAGATGCATGACTGGATTGCCTATAAAAAATTGAGTGAGGATTGAAAACAGCCTTGTGTGAATGAATTGCGTCTGGGAAAAAAAAAAAAAAAACTGACAGACCGTGTGAATGTTGAACAAATGCTTTTTGTAAACGGGAAAGGACGTCCTCAGATTAACAGCTTTGTTAAATTTTAATAGAAAACACGTAAGAATTTAGAGATAATATAGATCTGTGAACAATCTTTCCCAGGCGCCGGCTTCAAGGTAAGGTCCTCATAACACAAGACTTTAAGAAACCTCCCAAATTTAAATCAAAAGGACTCGGTTCCCCCACAACCACGTCAGCCAAACCCTGCTCCACCTGCCGACCGACCAGTACCGGGGCGGCAGCAGCTCAGCCACTGCCAGGAGGACAGACAGTGGAGGAGAAACCTGCTGTCAAAAACATTTACACACAGAACGAGCTAACAGCAGCATCCTCAGCTGTGGGAAGGGGAACAACCCCCCCACCATACGGGGAGCCATCCAGCCCGCACCACACCAGATCCAACAAGATTTATTTACCAACCTCGAATCCACCTACAAACCTCCATGTGACAGCCCCAATGATGGAAGTGGCGTCCGGAGATGGAAGCGCACAGCTGATCCACAGACCGTGGCTATTCAGCGAGATGAAGGAAGCATCACAGCAGCTTCCTCGAGTTCAGGACGGTGGGGTGAAATATGCTGAACATCTGCTGATCTTCTGCCAACAATTTAGACCCACTACCGCTGAACTGAGACGATTGTTGCAGAGACAGCAGCAGAAAGACAGGCTGCAAATGGCACAGCTGCATCAAGATCAGAGAAAAGGCAGAGGAAGAGACAGAGGTCGGGGTCGCGGAGGACGAGGAAGAGGCCGTGGCAGATCTGATGCTTGTTACATCTGCAAAAAGCACGGACATT